CTAGCAACAAAAAACATTTAACCTAGCAGCTAGAGATAACTAACCTAGCAACAAGAAAGAAGTAACCTAGCAACATCAGACAACTAACCTAGCAACAATATACAACTAACCTAGCAGCAAAAAACAACTAAACTAGCACCTACAGACAACTAACCTAGCAACAATAAACAACTAAACTAGCACCTAAAGATATACCTAAAATAATTGCAATACAGACAAATAAAAAAAATACCAACCTGAACACAATCATCGGACACTTCCTTTTGTTTTGATTTTATTGATAGTAATGGCTCCAAACGTTTATCAACAAAACCTCGGCCAAAACCACCAATTTTGGCCTCAGCATTGGATCTCTTGCGCAACAGGTCGCAGTTCCAACCAATAAAGGAGGGCAGGCTCCTTGGAACTTCACGATTTACAAAAGCAAGCCGATCAACGTATAAAACCTGCATTTTGGGAGAAAAAAAAATTATATATATATATATATATATAAGAAAATGGAATACAAATTGTTTAAGAATAATATAAAAATACATTCTTACAACGAGAAAAAGAAGAGGCCCATTAAAAGCAGTCTTGTTGGTCTTTTCCCATTTCATTCTTTTTGAAATCAGACTTTGAAGAGTGTATTCACACCAATTCAAGTCAGATACATTTGTTATGTCATTAATGGACTTGAAGAAGAGTGGGTTGACATAACCAGCAGATATTGATCCAATTATCAGAGCATCCACCAAAGCAGCAAAATGACAACAGAACATTTCACCACCATCATGACACTCCAACATTTCCCTGCTCACATTTTCAGCAGTGATTTTGTCAGCAGATTGTGTAAACTTACTCCTCCACTTATCCAACAGCTCACAAGACTCAGATTTCCTCTTCAATTCAATAGTCTTATCCCCTCTAGGAAATCCTAATACCTTCTCCACATCAACAGATTCAATGTGGATTTTTCCCTCACTGCAACGCAATACAGAGCTAATTGCGTCAAAATTATCCAACACCCAGAAAGATAAATTGGTTGGAATCTCTTTGATCTTAAGATGCAGCAAATTTCCAAAACCCATTTTCTGTACAGCTCTTTTCTGATCATCATTTAATTTGGCAATGGACTCAACCAACACTTTTGGAGAAGACCGTGTTGAGAGCCTTGGGAAATGAATTTTAGCATCAGGCTGCCGTTGACGAGCTTCACGTACAGGCTTGTGAGATGAATCAGTCAGCAAAAGAATATCATCATCCCTCTGAGACTCCATTTGTTCAAATTAAACTGAGTTACAAAAAAACAAAAAAAAAAAAAAATGTCAAATAGATATTACAAACCTTGCATCACACAGAAAAGTAAACTTGCAACTAACCAAGCAACATCAGACAACTAACCTAGCAGCATCAGAAAACTAACATAGCAGCAGAAGACAACTAAACTAGCAACATCAGACAACTAACATAGCAGCTACAGGTAAATAACATAGCAACATCAGAAAACTAACATAGCAGCAGAAAGAAACTAACCTAGCAACATCAGACAACTAACCTAGCAGCAAAAGACAACTAACATAGCAGCAAAAGACAACTAACATAGCAGCAAAAGACAACTAACATAGCAACATCAGACAACTAACATAGCAACATCAGACAACTAACATAGCAGCAGAAGAAAACTAACATAGCAGCAGAAGAAAACTAACCTAGCAACATAAGACAACTAACATAGCAGCTACAGGTAACTAACATAGCAACATCAGAAAACTAACATAGCAGCAGAAAGAAACTAACCTAGCAGCAAAAGACAACTAACATAGCAACATCAGACAACTAACATAGCAGCAGAAGAAAACTAACCTAGCAGCAGAAGACAACTGACATAGCAGTAGAAGACAACTAACCTAGCAACATCAGACAACTAACATAGCAGCTACAGGTAACTAACATAGCAACAACAGAAAACTAACATAGCAGGAGAAAGAAACTAACGTAGCAGCAAAAGACAACTAACATAGCAGCAAAAGGCAACTAACATAGCAGCAGAAGAAAACTAACCTAGCAGCAGAAGACAACTAACATAGCAGCAGAAGAAAACTAACCTAGCAACATCAGACAACTAACCTAGCAGCAGAAGACAACTGACATAGCAGTAGAAGACAACTAACCTAGCAGCTACAGGTAAATAACATAGCAACATCAGAAAACTAACATAGCAGCAGAAAGAAACTAACCTAGCAGCAGAAGACAACTAACATAGCAGCAGAAGAGAACTAACCTAGCAACATTAGACAACTAACCTAGCAACATCAGACAACTAACATAGCTGCATAAGACAACTAACCTAGCAACATCACACAACTAACATAGCAACATCAGACAACTAACCTAGCAGCAGAGGACAACTAACCTAGCAACATCAGACAACTAACATAGCAGCTACAGATAACTAACTTAGCAACATCAGAAATCTAAAATAGCAGCAGAAGAAAACTAACCTAGCAACATCAGACAACTAACCTAGCAGCATCACACAACTAACCGAGCAACATCAGACAACTAACATAGCAGCAGAGGACAACTAACCTAGCAACATCAGACAATTAACATAGCAGCATAAGACAACTAACCTAGATGCAAAAAGACAACTAAGCTAGCAACATCAGACAACCAACATATCAGCTACAGGTAACTAACGTAGCACCATCAGACAACTAACCTAGCAGCAAATATAACTAACCTAGCAACATCATACACTAACCTAGCAGTATCAGACAGCTAACTTAGCAAAAAATAAACAAAACATATTACTTTAATCTATTAAATGAAAGAATGAAAAACCTAAATCGAAAAAGTTATTACAAACAAAAACAACAGCAAAAATACTCACCAATTTAAGACGAGAATCAGCGAAATCACAGAGAATCTGCGAGAATAGACTACGAAGGATAAAACGGAAACAGATAGTAACGCCCGAGAAATCGAAATCGAAATCGAAAATGGAAGAGAATGGAACAGAAACAACGAGCAAGTGCGAAAATGGAGAGGGAAAGTAGAGTAGAGAGTTCTGAAGACGTACCGCCCGCGAAATCAGAAATATTGATTAATGTACTAAATTAATTCTGAACGTTAGATTAGATGAGTGGTGAACGGACCAGATCAGGTCTCACGTCCTCACTTTCAAAAAGACCCTAATTTGTCTTCAAAATTAGGGGTTCCAAAGGAACCTGAATTTCATTTAATGTACACTTTCATTTAGGAATCTTTTTCATCTTAAAATAAGGTGTTTAATTAAAAAAAAAAAAAGAAAATGAAGATTCTATTACACGTACCATGCTTTTCGTAAACAAGCAAACAAACAATTTAAACTAAAAGTTAGCATTCACCTTATGTGAGAAGACCATTGTGTATCCGAATCTTCTTGCAGATGAAAACCTTCTCAAAAATCATTTACGACCGATTTTAAATTTCTTGAACCAAGACGTGATTTCGAATTTTCGATTTTTTTGGATTGGAGAACGATTGCAAAATTACTAAGTTTTGTTCTCTGAATCGATTACACGAGTGAAACGAGCTTTTCATTTTCCCTCCCTTTCCACGTTTCATGCCACGCGAAAATTTGAATTTTTTGGTTTAATTTCAGGGCGCACGTGATAATTTCAATGCTACGAGGATTCTCTAGTTCCACATAAGATTAAATGATCCTGTCACGTGACTATTTCCGGTCAAATTTTGAATTTTTCAACTAATCGAGGACCATTTTGTTACCTTTTATTAAACGAAAATGGCTAAATTCAAATAAGCTATTCAAAAAGGACTAAAAAGTTGAGGTAGTCAAACATAGAGGACTAAATATATAATTTTCTCTATTTTTAATTCGTTGGCCAACGTATCAACTCGCTCATTTAATTCATAAAGGGGCTGAACAGAAATGTAACCGTTCAACAATGACCGATCTCCTATACTATGGCTATGTTGTGCTTCTTATACTATTGTGTACATATCGCATAGCTACACAAGAAAGTTGAATCACAGTCGTCAAGCGGGAAAAACCAGAGCTGCATCGTTCAAAACTGCAATTCCCATTCACGTTCCAATACATCCCGATACCAAGTTTTCACTTAAATATGAGAGTAATCACCCAAAAGTAACTCACGCATGTCATCAGGAGTGAGAAAAGTAGTTCCTCCGAGTATTATTTCAACATCAGGCCTGCTGCTTCCAGTCAAAGCTTCCTGGACTTCTCGTACCTGGAAAATGCAACACGAAACTATAAGCATATTTTCAAAGGAGGCTTTCTATACACTGGAATTCTAAGGGAGAATATAAAAACATAAAATGGGTCGAAGAAAGCTGACCTCCACAGCATTGATGCCTCCAATTACAAAAACCAAGATCACATTCTGCTCAACAAGACTAGGTTTAACCTGCAATATGCGAAAAATGAAAAACTTACTTATAAATCCACAAGATATAGACAATTTATGCAACTCTGGTTATTCAATAAATACCTGCCCAAGGCCAAATCTTCCAAAACCACTTTTGAAAAGACGGCCCACTGTGGAGGAATGATACTCCAGCCCTGGAATGTCATTTTTGTCTAAAATACGCGTCAGAATTCTGTATAGAAAACATTTGCCCGAGAAGGGATCATCAATGTGCCTACTTTCCAAGGCCAGTAGTGAAGCCTTACTTTTGAAGCTCGAGAGTTTATGAAGGAATTTGAAAAGATTATCCACCCTGTCACGTAGCTCTAGCTTTAGCTGCATGTTTCCATACACTTCCTCTTTGCCAGTATCCTTATCATCATCATCGTCATCATCATCATTCTCATCCCCCCAATTACCCCATTGATCATCATCAAAATCCACACCATCCGAATGAACAGAAGGATCTTGTTTGTTTTCATTAGAGTTTGTTTTCTTTGAGCTGTCTTCAAGCTCTTCAGTCAAACCTTGAAGAAACTTTAGTTTCGAGACAGCTGGGTTCTCGAGGATGGAGTCCACAATACCTTCTTTCATGAAGTGCTCCTCCTGCCATGAGAATGGACCACCAGAGCCGGAGGTTGGGAAATTCTCACCAGCCAACAAATACCCAATAATTGTTAAAAGCAGGGCATCTTCAAGAGAGAACAGTCCCTGAGATTTCTCCGCTTTATTTTGTGAAGCCACAAGAGAGGTTTTATTGATGAGGTCACTGATTTGAGCCGCCAGGCTCTGGCTCGTGTCTGCAGCATTTACATGTAGAATCTTCTCGGCACTGTTAAATGCGTCCCAGTTTGCAGAATGTGATTCATCTAAAGCATGTAAAGTGGCTGCTGCTAACTGAATTATTCCTTTGTTCTTGATAAAAGTGGACTGACTTTTGGATAGTGCCTTCACCATGCACTGTAAGTCAGATTTAGAAGGGAATCCAGGACGAATTTTCACATTCGAAGATATTTTCTCTTGTCGCAAGCTTTCTTGAAGCCATTTCTTGATAAGCATTGCCCCATCTTTGGTCCTCCGCTCAAGTATTGCTTCCAGGTAAGGTGCTCCGCGAAAATTGTCTGTAGAGACAAAGGAGCCGTGCAAAAGTTCACCGTGATTATGATGAGGCCAATTTTCATCATTTAGTTTCTTACTGAATTTCATCAACTCAACAGTTTGAACATCGGAATCGATGGCATTCCAGCCACGTAAAAATGCTTCGATGCTGTCCAAAAGCTGAAAATCACATTTTGAATCTTTTTCAGTAATGAACTCTTCTAGTGGAACCTGTACAGTAAGAGGAGCACGCTCCAGTTTAACAAGTCCACTTTTTAGTTGGCTTTGAGAACCTTTCATCTGGTTTGAGAACGTTATCCTTCGCCTACGAGGCAAGAATGAAAACATCCGGTCCACAAGTGAGTCTCCATGACAGCATGGGGTAAGAAGATCGAGTGTACGGTCAATGAGCAGAAGGCCAGCAGATTTTTTACGTCGACCAACATCGTATAGACTAGACATGTCTGTTAAAAGCTTTCCAACATTTTTTGACAGATCACCCAGAGAATATATTTCCAGTTTTAGATCCATCTGCAAAGATATTGAAAAACAATATATCATCATGAAATGGTGGATTTTAACATTGCGCAAACAAAACAAAAGTGAAAAAATGGTAGGGATACTCTCTATTCAATACATATGAACATTATATGTATTCAAGAAAACACACTACAATTTAGAAAATTTATACAACCACAACCACAGAATTCAAGTGAAAGGAGAGGCAATTTGAGTTTTAACAGATGAATAAACTTGTGGCAGAGTGTTTTCATTGCTATACAACAACAACATAGCCTTTTAGTCCCAAGCGAGTTGGGGTAGGCTAGAGATGAAACCCAAGAGAACCAATGGTAAGAGAACCAATGGCAAGTTGGCAGAGTGTTTTCATTGCTATGATTTCTCGGAATGTGTAGAATGAGACTATGACTTAGATTGATCTGTACTTGCATAAGCTCAAGAGGCATGATCAGTGACACATTATGTCCTCTATCCTTAAACAGTGTCCAGATTCTATCCATTCATTATGTTAATCGGTAAGTAAAATTGAGTTTAGGCGATGCAATTTCCAAAGTAAAAAGATGTAAGATACTTTGTTACAGCCAGACAAATTATATTTAAAAGGCTTGTGCGCAAATGAAATCCACAGAAGTCAAAGCTTTATCACCTTCAATGCCAAATGATAAAGAAATTGAGCAGTAAGAGTTGCCCCAGGACTGATATCCTCAATATTAGCAAGATTCCCAGCACTTATCGGAGGCAAACCAGAGCTTATGGAATTTTCATGATCAGTAGATAAGCTTGCTTCAGCAACATATCCTTCTGAAGGTAAGACGAAAACTCTGGGTGACAAAGGACACAAAATCAATGGAAAGTGGTGCACCGAGACTGACAGTTTTCCACCCACATCTTCAGAGTAGCCAGTAAAGTTATCTTCCTTTGGTAGTTTATCACTTGAAATGCCATCAGATCTGGAAATATCATCTTCAAAGGGGGTTAGGTGGGACCACCCTTCATCTTCAAAGGCCGTACTTTCCTTCAAAGAGTTGTTGCCTGACACTGTACCATCTGTTTCGTGTTTCTTAACAAGCTCCTCGTAATCTTGCTTGAGCAAAGATTCGTATTCACGAAAAGCATCAGGGCCCAGAGGAGATTCAGGAAATGATGAGTGAGCCACCTACATTAAGTAAGCAGACATATGATCAAAGAGAGGATCTCAATGTGTTATCATGACAATATATTTCAATTTTCAGAATGGAAAAGACGCGAGTATTACTTTACTTGTATTTTTACAATTTATATGGATAATTCTTTGATGTTCGAAGATACAAAAGCTAAAGCATTATATGTTACAAGTTATAAAGTGATCAGCTAGACTTCTGTTCATTCGGGCTATAAAATTAAAGCTATGACGTCATCTTTATCTGGCAAATAAACGTGGTGCACTTAAGTTATTGCACACAGAAGTCTAACCCAACCAGATGTACCAAACAATCACCATTCATCAATCAATTCTCTCACAATTCAACTCAACAATTATCTCCCATAATTCAACTCAGCAACACAAGTGTGGGTAGCTAGTTATTACCAAAAACAGATATATGATAATAAATAAAGATCCTTCGCTTCGAGGTTGCAGATTTGGAAACCAATATCAGTATTATCCATGGCGGGAGGCTGAAATCCCACCATAGAGATCTGACGTGGCGCCCTGTGTTGCAGCCATAACTGCTATCCTTCACAAATTTGTAATGACGGTTAAGCAGAAATCCGCCACGCCATACCGCCGACATGGCAGAAATTTGATATCACTGACTAATATCATGACAACAGATGATGCTACAAGTGAAATCTTTAAGCAAATCTACGAGGAATATTATAGAGCTGTCTCCATATTTGCAGTGCGTGCACGTATAGCAAGGAAAGATTAAAGTGCATAAGTCTAGACCAACCTATTTGCGCGAGAAAAAAGTAGTAACCTAAGTAAGTTGAAAAGAAAGATCGCGATAGCAGTTAAACTGAGGGAATACAATGATTCACTACTTTAACTCAGGCATCAGAAGATGCGAAACCTTGATAATGATGGATGCTTGAAACAATTACAGGCAGCATTAGAATTTCACAAGATCATCTGAGTTTCCCACTTTCCACACGTCTACTGCATGCACAATAAGATCATTCTGAGCTTTGAATGGATGCTTGAAACAATTACAGGCAGCATTAGAATTGTGAACACCAGTCCTTACGAATACCACAACAAAGTAACTAATTTGGGCATTAATAAAGTTAAGCGTGAAAGCAAACGAAAACAATAGATAATTGATATTATTAATTAAGATATTAACTCGAAAATAACTTGGGACGAATCCCGCCCAGCCTAAGGCCGACACTTCGGGAAGAAACTTCCTGCGAAGCTTAAAGCCATCAATTCTATTCAACACAATCTAATCCTATGTATCAAATACTAGTCTATTCAAATAGTGTCCTACTCTCCAGATGTAGGTGTAGCAGTAGCCACCATGGAAAGAGGAACAAGTGTTGTAGTCATAAGGGGGTAGCAACCCTTTCTCACGAAGTAGTTGCTTCATCAACTCTTCAATTCGGCTAAGTTGTAGCAATAAACGATACATAGCAGTTTTTGATGATGTAACACCCTTCTCTATCGGGCCCACGCGTTTCTCCATCTGATTTTTGGATCCAGCAGGTCGGACCGATTGATAGAATTAAGGGTGAAAGCAAACGAAAACGATAGATAATCGATATTATTATTTAAGAAATTAACTCGAAAATAACTCGGACGAATCCGCCTAGCCTAAGGCTGACACTTCGAGAAGAAACTTCCCGCCAAAGTTTAAAGCCGACAATTTTATTCAACACAAGCTAATCCTATGTATCAAATACTACTCTATTTACAAAGAGTCCTGACCCTAACCCTCCTTAATGTATATTCTAAGCAAAGGGGCCCAAATGTCCAATTATTTAAATATACTAAATAACAATTGATCAGCCACAAAAGTAAATAAATAATATAGAAAATAACAATTTATTTAAGCTTCAACCCCATGATTTTTTTCAATATTTATATTGTAAATATACATAGAAAATTATGTGACTAACATGAGGACTTTTGTAGAGTAACTTAATACAAGCCTACCAACGATGTACATACTGGCAAATACACTTATGACGTAAAATCATCGAGTGCCCAACAGAGACCCCTTTTTAGCCTTTATATTATTTTATTTTGTTTTTTTTNTCTTCTATTATAATAAAAAACGAAAATATTCCTCAAAGCAACTTGACTTCAAAATGCTGCACGTGATATAAATAATATAAGGATGGACATAGAACTATAGCAAGGAATCATAGAGCATAAATCCTAGCAAATAACTTTATCATGAAAGCCTCATAATTCCAAAGAGCATCAGTGTTAGAATGCAAATATACCAATCTGAATCTAAAACTTTTAAGAGTTCGAGTCAGAATGAGTTAATTTTGTCTTTATGTTACCCAACCTCATGACTCATCCACCAGTAATTTCATCAGCTACCACATCATCAACTTCTTTCAGTTGTATACTTTTCTAATGATCTATAAATGCTTATTAGGAGTCCAATCACAAATGGATTAACTAATCATGATGAGCCTACTCTTAGAATATAACCTCCTTACAAAGTCTTCAGTAATCTATATCCTAGAGAGCTCGGCAAAGTCTTGACCAGGTTCTTTCCTAAAACGTTCCGCCAGAATAACAAGACATGGACAGGTAGTATCTGTATGTAACTACAAACCGGCTCACTAATAAGAATAAGCATACAGATTAAACTTAGAAATTCTGTAGGAAATAATAATCATTTAAATCATTGCCAACATTTTTATCTTTGCCAAAATTTTTATCATAATGAACTCAAGCTCGAGGACATATCACTGTCAGTATGTACATCTATGAATATGCCGCTAAACACTTTTAGCAAGTTCAAATAGCCACTGCGTCAATCCCTAACTCGATAGACAAGTTTAGAAATGGATGTTGTTTCATTTTCTGCTACTGTTTTCCAATCAGATTTCACATTAGTTTATTGTGACTTCATTCTGTATAGCACAATTTACTTAGGAATAAATTAATAATGTTAACATGCCATCTCCGGGTAAAACTTGTTTAAACAGTGCACCTTTAAACTACCAAGTGGCATTGCACTGAAAATAATCAAAGATAACAGCCTCAACACAAAATAACTATTATAAACATTGGCAAAACAGAGTGTTTAGGTTTCCAAATGACTAGGAGAAGTTTAAGTTGAAATAAGAGAAAAATAAACAACACAATTATTTAAACAAACACCTCTGAGACAGACGTATGCACAGCACAATGGTGGACGGTTTGCAGTGTGCTCAGACAACGCAAAATATATCGATGTGCGTCACTGAGAAGACGTGATGTGAAAACCACAATCTTCCTTGCAGGATCAGAATTGGGATTCCAGCTAACAACCTAGAAAATAGGAGCAAATAACAAATCATTCCAACAAACGGTCCAACAATGACAGACAATAATATGCCTAAAAGGATTTCAAAAAAGTGTCTGTCTTGCTAATCAAAAAGAGTATATGTTAAACCATAGGGTTCCCCGTAATATACAAGAATAAATATTATAACTCCCTAAACTTCAGTTTCAGAAAAGACGAGACAGACGATTCAATAGTATCAATAGCATACACAGGTAAAAAACAGGATGCAAACGGTAGCAGTTGAGGTTGCACCTTCTCCAGAGTCGAAATGTTCTCCAAGCTACAAACAGCACGGGCCCCAAGCTCCAGAAACAAAGGAAATGCTCCTAGAATCTGGAAACTCTCCGAACTTCCAGCATCCAAGTACACAATTGCATCTTTGATGCTCTCCGACAACTGAACCCCAAAAAAAGCACATCTTGATGATTATGCAACCACAACATATATATCGAATCCGTTCGAAAAGAGATATAAGAAAGTAACACATGTGCAGGGCAAGTTAACTTACTTGTCTGATTGTATCTAGGCAACAATTGATCACATCAACAGTGGCCATAATCCCTCCTTTTCGCCACGATCACCGCGATACAAAATCAGGTAAATTCACGAATTCATTCGGGAGCAAAGCAATCATCAACCAAAGAGAAAAAGAAACAGCGAGAATGTAATTTGCATAATTAGCTGACACAAAGACACATTTGCGGATTTGGATGTGATGGAGTTGTATCCTGGATTTCAATTTAGGAATATTTACATCATACAGTAGCTCGTGTGATAACACCTAATTAGCGATTCCATGGGCTTTGTTTATTTTTGAGAATTTATAAATTGAAGTTGGACAATAAAAGTTTATAAAAGGTTTGAAATAAAAACAAATTATATATAATTGAAAACTTCATTATACACAAAGTTATTAATTTGATTCTTGGGCAACTTGTCAACCTCTTTCACTTATCGACCTGATTATTTATTTGTACAATTTTATAAGGAGTAATTGCGAAAAATTTGTATTAAATATAGCAAGGTATATTTTAAGATTTTAAATATAAAATTTTAGATATATTAAAATTTTGTTTTAAAAAAGGACAAGTATACAAATTCTTTAAACAATACTCCCTATGTTTTAAAAGAACAAAATTACGTCTTTGAAGGAATTGGTTATCTTTACCATGCTATTAGATTTTCTAAATCTCCTTAATTTTATTTAAATACATTTTTAATAGGTTTCTCTCTCCTTATCAGTTTTATAGTTATCGAGATATAGACATTTATATATGTAGTTCCATTAGTTAGAGAGCTTACAGATAAAGAGACGAATCATTAAAAAAAAAATAACAAGCATGAACTAAATCTTGATTTTAGGATTTTATCAAACTAGTTAGTTGGTGGTTATCTAAAGCGACAATTAATAAGTAAAAAGAAATACACACTCAAATGACAAGTATTTTAAAACGGAGGAAGTAATAGTTTTGTTAGATGTATATGTGTCGGTCTACAATTATATAGATCCAATTTATGTTTATTTAGGTTAATTTCTATAGTACATTTTTTAATACCTTGCGTATGTTTAGTGATATATTTATGTTAACTTGTTATTACCTTGATGTAGCTTAGTTCTAGAATTGTATTTGCTCATCTAATTATATGATGTACATATATGCATATGTATTTATGAACAAGCTAAAATTACTTTATTGCTTAGAAACAAAAATCCATAAACCGCATAGACATCCTGTCTAAAATTAATAAACAAAAGAATTTAAAAAAATAAACTAATAATCCAACTGTATCATGCGAGTCAAATAAATATAAACCATAAATAATATTTATTATTTATAAACTGCATAGACATCAAACTAATATCCAATTTAATATAAATATTGAAAGCAAGCCTAATTGACATCTGCCAACATTATTCAATCAAACTTCGTATTAAATATTGAATTCAAACACTATCCTATAATAAAAAATGACCAAATAGCTCTAATCTGTATCGAAATTATCCTTCATTATCATAATGCTCGTCGACCTTTACTTTTCTCTTCAAGGTAGTGGCTGATTAGGCAACAAATCTAGGTCAATCATCTAGGAACTCCATTAGATTGCACTTTGCATTAGAAGTCACCGACACTTTCGCTATTTTTAACAACCTTTAATGGGTGAAACCTCATTTTCCCCGACCGAATCCTGTAAGAAATTTTAAATAGTATAAGAAATTGATGTAGTATAAAAATAACTTTATTAGTAAAAAATGCGTCAAATAATAATAAAAGAAAATGGCCGAGAAAAAAAATTGATAATCTACCTTTCCAATGTTAGTTTCTTGTATGATGAATCTCGAGGAGGTTCTTATATGATAGATATAAGAAATTGATGTAGTATGATATAGGATATTATACATGACCGGGTTTAATGGATAAAAAGAGAATATATTGAAAAAATAAGCTTGCACATGGCCAGGACACTTGGCATGATGCTATTGGACAAGCCCAACTTGGGTCATAAGGTACACTCCCCCTATAAAAGGGGGCTAAGGTATCTCATTCTCTCATTCTCTGTACATTCATAATTATACTCTTGGAGCAGTTCACAGAGTCAAGTTATTCAGGTTGATGATTTTATTTGGTTTTGTCGAAATTCGGCTTTCGACTTCGGTGTGGTGTCAGGACATTCGGTTTTCGAGAGGATAAACAGCGGGTTGAATTTCAAATTTTGAACTGAGGGGGGCGATGATAGGAGGAGGTGGTAGGAAAGGTTTATCTTTGAATGAAGAGAGCTCGAACATGGTGGTCGAGAAACAATAGACGTGAGTTCAAATTTTCAAATTCAAGACTTCGTGAAGAGATCAAGAAAATCTACCAAAGTAAGTAGATCGGGAGATAGCAAAGAAAAGTCGACATTGCAAAATGAAGAGCATAGAAATCCGCTCTAGGAATCAAAGTTCGACCCCAGTGACGGGTCTCTCGGTTTTTTACCTGAGTGGTCGTTCAGCTTTCGGTGTTCGACCCCAATTGTGGGTCTCTCAGTTTTCGACCTCAGTGGTCATTCAGCTTTCGGTGTTCGACCCCAGTGGCAGGTCTCTCAGTTTTCGACCTAAGTGGTCGTTCAGTTTTTGGTGTTCGATCCCAGCGGCGGGTCTCTCGGTATTTGACCCCAGTGGCGGGTCACTCGGTTTTCGACCTCAGTGGTCGTTCAGCTTTCGGTGTTCGACCCCAGTGGCGGGTCTCTCGGTTTTCGACCTCAGTGGTCGTTCAGCTTTCGGTGTTCGACCCCAGTGGCGGGTCTCTCGGTTTTCGACCTCAGGGGTCTCTCGGTTTTCGACCTAAATGGTCGTTCGGCTTTTGGTGTTCGACCCCAGTGGCGGGTCATTCGGTTTTCGACCTCAGTGGTCGTGCAGCTTTCGATGTTCGACCCCAGCAGCGGGTCTCTTGGTATTCGACCTCAGAGGCAGGTCTTTCGGTATTCGACCTCAGCGGCAGGTCTTTCGGTTTTTGACCTTCGTGGTCATTCGATGTTTATTTGGGGTCCCGATGCTCATTTGGAGGTTTGGTGACTATTTGGTGGTTGATGATTTATTCAAATTATAACCTCAGTGGCAGGTTGACGGAAACAGCCCGAAGAGGAATTTCACTCTTGGATCGAGTCATGCTTACTCGACCAGAGTGGGGGGACTAGATGATATATGATATTATACTAGACCGGGTTTAATGGATAAAAAAGGAATATATTGAAGAAATAAGCTTGCACATGGCCAGGACACATGACATGATGCTACTAGACAAGCCCAACTTGGGCCATAAGGTACACTCCCCCTATAAAAGGGGGCTAAGGTATCTCATTCTCTCATTCTCTCTACATTCATAATTATACTCTTGGTATTTGGAGTGATACTGACTTGAGCGTCGGAGGCCCGACGCCGGGACCCCTCCCGCCGTTGGGTTCTTGCAGGTCCGGTGGCCGTCCGAGTTGAAGGAGCCCGAGTGAAATCTTATTCACTTTAGAAAGCAAGCCTAATTGACATCTGCCAACATTATTCAATCAAACTTCGTATTAAAAATTGAATTCAAACACTATCCTATAATAAAAAATGACCAAATAGCTCTAATCTGTATCGAAATTATCCTTCATTATCATAATGCTCGTCGACCTTTACTTTTCTATCGTTAAATGTAAATATATAGATCAAAACTGAGTTCAGACAACAGATCGTCGGCATACAAAAGCGGAATGGGCAACCATAAGTCGGTTCCTCATTTGCAATGTAAAGAAAATTTGAGGCCAACCACAGGTCGGTTGGTTACTCAGAAGTCTCGAAAATGGAAATAAAAAACAGTCCAAATGTAGCTCGGCATCTTTACATGACGTTGGTCTTCACGTCAGAACATGCTTGGCTAGTGGCGCGGAAGACACACATTGTCGGGCGCTGGAAACAGGCATAGCGGCGCTAGCCTTAACCTTAGCGGCGTTAGGGTTGACGTGGCAAAAATCGTACAGGCCGTGCCTAGCAGCGCTAACCAGCGCTAGCGCCGCTAGTGATGTCGTATCGCACGCAGGGCAGGTCAGGGGCTAGCGGCGCTAGGGTCACAGGGGCAGTAGCTGCAGAAGCTCGCTAGGGTATATAGCGCCGTTAGGTGTTGCTCGCTAGCGGCGCTAGGGCGAGGTTAGCGCCGACCTTTACTTTTCTCTTCAAGGTAGTAGCTGATTGGGCAACAAATCTAGGCCAATCATCTAGGAACTCCATTAGGTTGCACTTTGCATTAGAAGTCACCGACACTTTCTCTATTTTTAACAACCTTTAATGGGTGAAACCTCATTTTCCCCGACTGAATCCTGTAAGAAATTTTAGATAGTATAAGAAATTGATGGAGTATAAAAATTACTTTATCAGTAAAAAAATGCGTCAAATAATAATAAAAGAAAATGGCCGAGAAAAAAAAATTGATAATCTACCTTTCCAATGTTAGTTTCTTGTATGATGAATACTCGAGGAGGTTCTTATATGATAGATATAAGAACGCGACGCTCAGCGACCAATGCCCAGACCACGAGACGGTCGGTGATTAGCGAGCCAGAATACGCCATGCTCGGCAACCAGCCTCCTGCCAGCACCATCACCAACACCAGCCTAGGTACCCACCAGCGTTCACGGGCCGGCATGAGCGTGCACCAGGAGAGCCGCGGCGATGCGCAACAGCGTGTTACTCCAGAAGCTACGATCAGCGATCCGAGTAGACAACCTGAGGAATCACCAAGGACGTGCAACAAAGAACTTGGGCTAGAGGACATGTTTCAGAACTGTTCTTCTGGTCCCGTAGGCCATGTATGTCTGTATAGAGTTAGCAAAAGTTTTAAATCATAAGTCCTGATCCTAACTATAAATTCTGTTGCATTAGGGTTTATTTTTTAATAGACTCGAATGTGCACATCATTGACGTTCCTTATAGAACCCAACAACTGGTATCAGAGCCCGGGCTAATTCATCTTTGTGCACTATTCGAATTAGGACTTGCGTTACCTATGTGTATTAATTATGTATAGGCGCAGCGCACAGTAGATTATAATTGCAAATAATTGATTGTATGCAGGTGTTCTTAAATCCGACTATTGTGGCATGTATGTATGTGTTTAATTTCATGTATGTTTTATAAGACTCAAGACATGTCAGGGATTTTTGGGATATGGAAAGATTGTAATAATTTAATCGAGCGGTGGAACACTGCATAGTTAAAATGCTCTACTAGATCATGCATGTACGACCCATGCGTGGCTCATAGGTCAAATTAAGTAATTTATTACGTTGTTTAATTGAGCAGGTGGGCGCGGATGAGCCCGAACGATCAAGACGACTGGCACACCCCGACAAGAAAAGGCGAGCCAACCGAAAACCCGCGGTTGCCGGTGCACGCGGTACCGTGCGCACTCAGGCGCGCACGCCCACGGCCAGGGCGACGACGGATCATCAAGGAGGAGCGTGTGTGATGGCGCTGGGCTAGCGCAAGGGAGATGAGCGTGGGATTCATTCGAAGTAGCCCATGCACGGCGCGTGTTGCCACGACGCGGTGACTGGTCGCTCGCATGGCTCTGATAACGGCAGCACTTGGCCTCGGTTGTGCGTGCCTCGCTTCATGCGGCGATACGGCGAGACATGACTACAGTGTTGGATCGCAAGATGATGATCACGACTGTGCGTGCCTTATGCACGAGCGGTAGCGTCCCCAGCTGAGCATCACGCGAGGCAACTACGTCTCCCGACAACCGCGGTGCTCCAAAACATATTTTGTTGATCTGTGAGCATAGGTGTTCGAGAGGAACGCTTAGAAATACTTGAGGGATTCGATTTGTAAAATCCACAAAGGATTTGTGATCGGAACTGGTAGGCAAGCTTTTGCCAGCGGTGGCTTTTCCGACGAACACGACGATCTATAGAAGAAAAGTGAGAGTCACGTTGAAAAAGAAATTCCAAGTCCAAAAGGAAACGTGCAGTTCTATAAGGACAATGATTGCTAGTTTCTAATTAAGATTGGATTTTTTATTGGCCAGGATAGTTGGATTTATTTTCTAGTTTATTATTGTCTTTAACTATGCATGTGTCCTCAATTAATTTGTTTCTTTATGCAAGAAAAATTAATAGGAGCACGCTTAAGAAAATTCCTTAACTAAAATACTAAGTGTTAATGGAATTAAATAAATTTATAAGTCTACAGCCTTTATTATTGGTTTGTCAGTGAAGTGGCCAAAATTGTGCGTTGGCATTAGAACATTCCTCCGCGAGGAAGATTTTTAATCACAGTTCACCAAGAAAAACTTCTTTCGGGGAGGTAATAGAAAGCTATTTCAAAAGCGTACTGGTCACCTGGTGGACGTATAATTTTGGTAGTGGACTTCGTACCAAGTAATTGGTCATACTTAGAACACACCTAATTGTGGTCTCCCCGAGAAATCCACCATTTTTATTTGTGTAGGCCAAAAGTGGACCGACTATTAATTATGTGTTGAGAAATTTAAAAGGTCGACACGAATAATTGATGAGATAAAACCCTCCTCTGACGATGGTTCGAATCGTAGACGTCCACACTAGAGTGGCCTACGGGTATTCAGTGTTTTGAAGTGTCGGTGAATTTAATAAAATATTATTGCTAAGGGATCAATATTTGAGAATTAAAATTCAAATGCTTGGCTAATTAAAATTTATTTTGCATGATCTTTGAATTCGAAATGTCTTTCAATTCGTAGTCCGTTTTTCTCAAAATAAAATACTTGTTCAAACTTGATTAGATATAGAACTTGAATAGTGTCCTAAATTGCTGTGAAGTACAAGCCAAAGGACAAGTGTATCCACTTTAAGCAAAATGGACATAGGAAGACAAATTGTTATCCTTAAGACAAGAAGGTAAAATTTATTCACTAGAAAATCGAAACATTTTAGTGATGTTATCTATCAGTACCTGGTGATTAAATGCATAATTACTAATTAAGTAAAAATGTTCGAGAAAACCAATCAACAAGTGATAGGTAGATTTCCAAATAGAATGAGTTTTTCTACGAAAGTAACGGCTATTGAAGTGGGAGTTGTCTATTAAATGGGATTTTAGTTTTGAGGAATTGTCTTTACATGCCATATTTTAAAATTAATTTAGTTCAGTTTCTAAATTGTGTATGGATATTACTTTTTGTTTAATGGTAATTTTGATGTTTTGAAAATAAAATGTTTTGTCCACTTGGTATGTGGGTAGACGACTTGTAACTCAAGGTATCAAAATGTCTCACAGTGCAGTAGATGAAAGAAGCTACACATCGACTAAAACGAATAAGAGCGAAAGGTCCTTCCGTATATAAATGAGCCATACATATTTTAGCATCTAGTGTTAGAAATGTTAGAAAATAGTCGATGGACTCATGAGTCCGTTGGAAGTGGATTAAACTATCCTACAAATTATACTTAGTAGCTAAAAAAACCAAAACGATCTTTTGATCGAGGGGTTTAGAAGCCAAAATAATGTTATGATTGGTTCATTTGATTTTTACGGTCCTATGATTTTTCGGACACATGGCGGTTTCAAATATATTGTCTCTATCAAAAAATTTATTCGAGATATGGTACATTAAATGACGTTCCATAAGCTTGAGTACTTCAAGGGAGTACCGTCGAGGTTATGTATCCGTAGAAATGCGATCAAAATTGTAGTGGCTAATACCTTTTGAAAAAGAAGTTTTTGGATGGAACTGTGTTTAATAAAAAGTGCATGTATATATTAGAGTTTAAATAAAGTTTGCCCTATACTATATGTATTTTTAAAAACTAGTATAAATAATTTAAAGTGTTTTGTTAAGAAAAGATGCATATGAAATTATAGGTGTTCTTAAAAATTAGTATAGATAATATAAAGTGTTTTGAACATTTTTTTTCTCGAAAATAACATATATTTTAATATTTTTAATTTTCCATGTTAATGAAGTTGAGAAATTTACATCAAAATTAAACACTTCATTCCAATTTTCATTATGATGGTTCTCAATTTTTATGATCACAAGTAATTTTATCTCAAAACTAATGTATTGTAAACAAGCAATTTTGTTATAGAGCAATCGGATGGCTCAACTTATGGAATCATCCACACTTATTCACCAATAGTGTATTGACATGTTTCCTACAATAAATACAATTTGAACATGTGTCAATACATTAAGTGTTGAATAGCTCCATAAGAAAACCATCTGATAATTACATAGAATTTTTGTGTAAACAGGTTACCCAACATTTTTTTTATAAAAACAATTTTTAACATTATTTACTCGTGCAAAAGGTTCTAACGAATAAGTTACACCCAAACTAAGGTGTACTTTATTTAACAGGGAAAAGGGGATGGGGGAACAAGAACAATGGAAAACACAAAGTAAACCAAACCACATGCACAAACAATCTAAAAGCCATCAAATCAAACTGAATTGCAATACATTTTAAGTCTTTGCACCAAACTAGGGCTCAGAGTCGGATAATGGCCCGCCCCGAAAATCGATGGTAAGGCTGTAGTTTCGGTAGGTGGGTAGTCATCCTGCACCAATCAACTGTGATCTTTTATATGATGTGGCAACAGTTCAACAAAAACAAGTCAGTAAAACCAAGAAGTAACATTAGACAAAGGATTTAACTCATCTCAGGCATACCAATTTCCAGCTAATAGAGAAGGTGGTCTGGCCAATGAAATAACATATTATTATACCTCAAATTATGTACAGCTCAAATGTCTAATTCTGCAACACTTGAGACATGCTTTAAAATAGCAGCAAATAACTTCCAACAGTCTACAGTGCCAAATGAGATGTAAACATTATAATACCAAAAATCATCTTTATGTTTTAAGGACACGTCCCTTGTATTGTCCCCTCCTTATCACAAAGTCATCCGGAGGCTGAAACTCTTCTAACCAAGTAATTTCGGATATTGTTACTCCGTCCACTTCAATAGTTCCTAAGTTAAAGAGAAAAAGGGTAAATGTAGAAATTAACCTCCCTTTCATTCCCGATG